TGAATTCGCTGCCTTCAGCCAAACACTATGCAAACCTCTAGGCCTTCCCAGAGGGTTTGTGTTTGTATCCTATAAATTCATCTTAAAATTTTTCCCACCAGCCTGACTGAACTCCCACAAGTGATAACCTGTCATTCATTTTTGATATTAGTAATTTGTGTTTTCTGTTTTTCTTGTTTAGCATGGCTAGAGGTTTATCAATTCTATTGATCTTTCCACAGAACTATTTTTGTTTTCATTGACTTTCTGTTGTTTTCTTGTTTTTTATTTCATTTATTTCTGCTCTGATTTTTTATTATTTCTTTTCTTCTGCTTGCTTTAGGCTTAAATATCTCTTCTTTAGTGTCCTAAGGTGGAATATTGCTTACTGATTTTTCTTTTCTTTCTTTTCTAACTTTCGCATTTAATGCTATAACTTTCTCTTTAAACATTGCTTTTGTTGCATCCCACAAATTTTGATGTTATATTTTTATTTTCACTTAGTTGAAAATATTTTGTAAATTCTTTTGACATTTCTTCTTTGGCCCATGTGTTATTTAGAACTGTGTTGTTTGGTTTCCAAATAATTTGGGATTTTCAACTATCTTTTTGTTATTGATTTCAGGTATCATTCTACTGTGGTCTGTGAAGACACTTATGCTTTCTATTCTTTTAAATTGGTTGCCGGATGCAGTGGTGCACCCCTGTAATCCTAGCACTTTGGGAGGCCGAGGCAGGTGGATCATGAGGTCAGGAGTTTGAGACCAGCCTGACCAACATGGTGAAACCCCGTCTCTACTAAAAATACAAAAATTAGCCAGGCGTGGTGGCATGCATCTGTAATCCCAGCTACTCAGGAGGCTGAGGCAGGAAACTCACTTGAACTGGGAGGCAGAGGTTGCAGTGAGTGCTGAGATCACACCACTGCACTCCAGCGTGGATGACAGAGAGAGACTATCTCAAAAAAGAAAAATTTGGTTAAGGTGTATTTTATGGCTCAGAATGTGGTCTATCTTACTGACTTGTTGCATATGAGTTTGAGAAAATGGTTTATTCCGCTATTGTTGGATGTAGACTTCTATTAATGTCAATTTGATCCAGTTGGTTGATAGTGTTGTTCAGGTCAGCAATATCCGTATTGCTTTTCTGCCTGCCTGCTTGATCTATAATTACTGAAAGAGGGTGTTGACATCACCAACTATAATATTGGATTTGTCTATTTCTCCTTTCAGTTCTATCACTCTTTGCCTCATGTATTTTGACACTCTTGTTAGGTGCACACACATTTAGGATTGTATGTCTTCTTGGAAAATTGACCAATTGATCTGTTCATCTATATGTAATGCTCTCCTTATCTCTGATAATTGTCCTTGTTCTGAAATCTGCTGTTTCTGAAATTAATACAACTACAACTTTCTTTTGATTATTGTTAGCATGATACATCCTTCCCTATGTATGAGTTTTTATATTTAAAATGGGTTTCTTGGCCAGGCATGGTGGCTCACGCCTGTAATCCCAGCACTTTGGGAGGCTGAGGCGGGTGCATGACCTGAGGTCAGAAGTTTGAGACCAGCCTGACCAACATGGTGAAACCCCATCTCTACTAAAAATACAAAATTAGCCGAGTATGGTGGCACATGCTTGTAATCGCAGCTACTCAGGACGCTGAGGCAGGAGAATCGCTTGAAACCGAGAGGTGGAGACTGTGCCATTGCACTCCAGCCTGGGCGACAAGAGCGAAACTCTGTCTCAAAAAAATAAATAAATAAAGTGAGTTTCTTGCAGACAACATATAGTTGAGTCTTGTTTTTATCTACTTTTACAGTCTTTGCCTTTAAATTGGTGTATTTTGATCATTCACATGTAAGTGATTATAATATAGTTAGATTACTACCTACATGTTTGTAACTGATTTCTATTTATTGCATTTGTTCTTGTCCCCTCCCCTTTTTCTGGGGCTTCTCTGGTTTAACTGAAAGGTTTTTTTTGTTTTTTGTTTCTTGTTTTTTGAGACAGAGTCTCGCTCTGTTGCCCAGGCCAGAGCGCAGTGGCGTGATCTTGGCTCACTGCGAGCTCTGCTTCCTGGGTTCACACCATTCTCCTGCCTCAGCCTCCTGAGTAGCTGGGATTACAGGCACCCGCCACTACACCTGGCTAATTTTTTTTGTATTTTTTAGTAGAGATGGGGTTTCAACGTGTTAGCCAGGATGGTCTTGATTTCCTGACCTCCTGATCCGCCCGCCTCAGCCTCCCAAAGTGCTGGGATAACAGACCTGAGCCACCACACCCGGCTGAAAGTTTTATATTTTATCCTTTTACCTCCTCATTTTTGTCATCTTGTTTGTTTTTTTGGTTTTTGTTTTTTTTTTTTTTGAGACAGGGTCTGGCTCTGTCACCCAGGCTGGAATGCAGTGGCATGATCTTGGCTCACTGCAACTTCCGCCTCCTGGGCTCAAGCGATCCTCCCATCTCAGCCTCCTGAGTAGCTAAGACTACAGGTGCATGCCATGCCACCATGACCAACTAATATGTGTGTGTGTGTGTGTGTGTGTGTGTGTGTGTGTATATATATATATATATTTTTTTTTTTTAAAGACGGGATTTTGCCATGTTGCCCAGGCTGGTCTCAAACTCCTGAGCTCAAGCAATCTGCCCACCTTGGCCTCCCAAAGTGCTGAGATTACAGGTGTGAACCTGTGGCACCCGGCCTTACCTCCTCTCTTGGTATATCAATTATATTTATTTTTTCCAATTCTAGTGGTCATGCTAGAGTTTCCAGTATACGTTTTCAACTAAGTCCACCCTCAAATAACTCTATACCATTTAGTTTGTAGTATGGGTATTTTATAACAAAGTATTACCATTTCCTTCCTTCCTTTGCTTATGACATTACTGTCATTCGTTTCACTTACCTGTATGCTATAATTGCTCAGCACATTATTTTTATTATAATTTTAACTAAGTTACCCTTTAGATTAAGAATTTATTTTATCTTCATTTATTTCCTCTCCAGTGCTCTTCCTTTCTTTATGTGGGTCCAAGTTTCTGATCTATATCATTTTTCTTCTCCCTAAATAACTTCTTTCAACATTTCTTTATGGCAAGTCTGCTGGCAATGAATTTCCTCTACTTTTGTTTGTCTGATTAAGCTGCAGAATAACAATATTAATAATATCATTACCAAAATAATTCCTGAAAACAGTGTAGTCTTTCTATAGGCTTTCTTCTTTCACCTTTCATTTAAAATGGTTTTAAATAGTTGTTCATTGCCCGAACACTATAGGCAATATATTACATACTTTACATCCTCCCGTTAATCAGCATGTACTTTGTTGGGCTTTTTTTTTGTTGTTGTTGTTGTTGTTTTGTTTGTTTATTTTGACAGAGTCTCACTCTGTCGCCCAGGCTGGAGTGCAATGATGCGATCTTGGCTCGCTGCAACCTCTGCGTCCAGGCTCAAGCAATTCTCCTGCCTCAGCCTCCTGAGTAGCTGGTACTATAGGCATGAGCCACCACGCCTGGCTAATTTTTGTATTTTTAGTAGAGAGGGGATTTCGTCATGTTGGCCAGGCTGGTCTTGAACTCCTGGCCTCGTGATCCACCCACCTCGGCCTCCCAAACTGCTGCGATTACAGGTGTGAGTCATTGCACCCAGCCATCATGTAGTTTTAAATCTACAAATAACGATATACTAACTACTTATTCCCAGTTCTTATGTTAATGTCCTTCTAAACCTTCTGGTTGTCTGAAAGTTATTCTTTAGTATATTCCTCAGGAAGAGCTTCTGGGAACAATATTCCCTGAATTCTTATGTATTAGAAACAGTTTGCCCACATCCCTTATTCTTGAAATGAATAAAAGAAGTCATGTTGTATATAAATCCTTGGTTCACATTTTCTTTCCTTGAGCATCTTAAATATACTGCTCCAATTGCTTCTGGCATAAAAAAAAGAAGTCTTTACTAAGAATACGAAAACCAGCCAGGCGTGGTGGCACACATCTGTAGTCCCAGCTACTTGGGAGGCTGAGGCAGGAGAATTGCTTGAACCTGGGAGACGGAGTTTGCAGTGAGCCGAGATGGCACCACTGCACTCCAGCCTGGGTGACACAGTGAGACTCTGTCTCAAAAACAAAACAAAACACTGAATCTATATTTTATTTTAATTAATTTATTATTATTATTATTATTTTGATTCTCCCGTCTCAGCCTCCCAAGTAGTTGAGATTACCTGTCACCATGCCTGGCTGATTTGTGTATTTTTAGTAGAGACAGGGTTTCACTATGTTGGCCAGGTTGGTCTCGAACTCCTGACCTCAAGTGATCCACCCGCCTTGGCCTCCCAAAGTGCTGGGATTACAGGCGTGAGCCACCGCGCCCGGCCGACACTGCCCTAACTCTCAAAGTGCATCCTTACTCGGATAGTATGACAGTGTGGGAAGCAGCATGGGACAATATAAAAAGGAGACATGCTTCTGGCTTCTGCCACTTACTAGCTGTTTGTCTTTGCATGAGTTTCTTAACCTCGCTGGGCCTCAGTTTCATTATCTGAAAAATAAGAATGATAGTATTCCCTTCATAGGGCCGAATGGAATACTATCAGGAACACTACATAATGGAACTCCATAAATAATAGCTGCTGAAGCCGGGCGCGGTGGCTCACACCTGTAATCCCAGCACTTTGGGAGGCCGAGGCGGGCGGATCACGAGGTCAAGAGATGGAGACCATCCTGGCCAACATGGTGAAACCCCATCTCTACTAAAGATACAAAAATTAGCTGGGCGTGGTGGTGCATGCCTCTAGTCCCAGCTACTTGGGAGGCTGAGGCAGGAGAATCACTTGAACCCCAGAGGCAGAGGTTGTGGTGAGCCAAGATCACACCACTGCACTCCAGCCTGGGGACAGAGTGAGACTCTGTCTGAAATAAATAAATAAATAAATAAATAAATAAATAAATAAATAAATATTCTATATATACACACACTATTATTATTACCTGGTCATTTCCTTTTCGTTTCACAGGAAATTTGCGAGAATCCCCGATTTATCATTGATGGAGCCAACAGAACTGACATCTGTCAAGGAGATCTAGGTAGGAAAGTGCCTCATATCAGATCCTGCCAGATGATCAAGGGGTGATTACAAGGTGTGATCCCTTTCCAGGAGGTAAAGGGACAATCTGTTCTTGCTTCTAGTAACTTTTTGGAAGATTTTTTATAACAGTTGCTTTATGGTCGTTTACATGCTGGCGATGGCTTCGTTTCCTCCTATATGCCTCTTTCGCACTCTGCCATGCATCACAGGGGGTATCTGCATCCTGTGGCCTCTTCTCCAGCATCTCAAGGACACTTACATACCCCACTCAGCATGACAAAAGCCCTGCTTTTCCCTGTACCCGTCTTTCTTGGAAGACAGCTCTCTGACTGTGCACCAAGCATGCCCCTTGGGCATGGAGACTCTAGATACACACAAAAGGCATCGCCAAGGAAAGCACTTGTAACTGGAACCCCTGTTTAAATTGCCCCAGCACAGCTCCGTATTAAAGGAGTCTTTCAACAAAGATGGCATCTGCCATGTAGATGAGCATCTAATTTTCTCTTTGGTTAGCTTGGCTGCTCCATCTGATCTTCCTCTCTCTCAACCTCTTGTTCAGAAAGTATTGTCTTTGGTGTGGACTATAAGCAAGCTCTGTGAAGTAAAATTGGAGAGAACATCAACAGAAACAATTTAAATTTGAGGAAAAGGGGCACCCAAGACCAAATGAAAGGAATTTGTCTTATTTCGTTCCAGAAAGGGAGGCTGAGAAGAAATCAGATGAATATCTGGGTTCCTGCACCTGGGGGAAGGCTTCCTGCAGAGCCCTGGACATAATACTCTGGGACCTTCAAACCAATACACTCTTTCCAAGGAAAGACTGGCTGCTTCCGAGGAGGGTAGGGGAGGGTGGCTGCAGGCAGCTCTCGTCTCCCCTGCACACTCTCAGTTGCATTTCACTTAACCCATCCTCCTTAGAAGGCAGCTCTATGACCAGGTACACCCCCTATTACACACACACACACACACACACACACACACACACACACACACACACAGAGAGAGAGAGAGAGAGAGAGAAAGAGAGAGAGCAAGAGCGCAAAGTGTTACCTCCAACTACATACAGTACTCTGTCAGAAAAGAACTCTAGAGAGTAAGAAAATGTCCCGCTCTCATTCCGTTGCCGGCAATGTCTCACTGCCCCCTAGAGACCGGTTCCAGGGCAGCTGCCTACCTGGCCTTCCTTCCAGTACCAATCATCTTGGTGGATGGTTCTCTGATGCTCAGTCTTCGCTGAGGTCGGAAGAGGAATTGGACTCACATTGCAAAGGCACGGGGCAGGGCGGATTTCCTACAGGTGTTAGGAAGAACAGCCCGGTTATGATCACCTACTGCTCTGTCTCCATTGAGGCCTAAAAAGGAAGTGAGTTTATACTGCAGTTGGAGGAACTGCCTGCAGCCTTGAGGAAAATGTCTAGTCACAGGTAGTAAGTTACCTGTTGATCATATTGTCAAGGAATTCCTGTCCAGTTCTCCTTCCCTGGGTTGACACCTCTGTAAGGTCAGATCTGGAAGTAGGACAGTGGGCACCAGGGGAGTTCCTGTTCAGGGAAGTGGAGTGGCTGGCTGGGATTGGGGCTTTTTCTTCCCAGGAGGAGCAGGACTGCTCACAATCTGTGCCCTGTGTCTGCCTGCAGGGGACTGCTGGTTTCTCGCAGCCATTGCCTGCCTGACCCTGAACCAGCGCCTTCTTTTCCGAGTCATACCCCATGATCAAAGTTTCATCGAAAACTACGCAGGGATCTTCCACTTCCAGGTGAGGTAATGAGAGTGTAGTTAAGAGGGTCAGCTGCAGGACACCCACCGCTGGTCTCCTGGTCTTGACTTCCCAGAAGCTGGAGGAAACTTTCCACCCATCTAACCCCAGCAGCAACAGTGGGCATGGACCCCCTTAAGGCTTCAGGCCTGGGAGGAAGCAGTTGCTCTTATCTCTGGATCCCTAATCCCTCCCCCACCACCTTCCACTATGTCCCAGAAAGGCAGGAAGACGTCCTGTTTACTGTGGGTCTATTTTTGTCTTTGCAGCTGTCTGGCTGCTGTTACTGCCTGCAGCGCTTCTCAAGTAGGTCCCTAAGATACTAGCCCCGGGACACCACAGGACCCTTCAGGTTGTACAGGAACCCCTGTCCAGGGCTCCTGTGTACTTCTTCCTCTCTAAGGCATGGCGGTGCCGAGGCTATCACTCCTCTCTTCCAAGCCCTGGAAGAAGAGTCTGCTTAACCTGGGGATCAGGCTTCTTGTCTGCCCTAGAACTGAGTCCGATGGTTCTAGAATCCATCCAGTTACTGGAAGTTTTCTGAGTCCCAGTCATCTTGGCATAGAGCTAGTGCTAGAGCAGAACCAAACTGAGTTCTACCTGTGAGGGTCTCGTAGGTTCTGGGATGCTGGGGAGTCAGCCTGTCTCCAGCCTCAAAGGCTCCCTCATGTCCCAGGATGACCCACGTTACCAGTTCTTGCTCTGCTGATCTTGCACCTCAGCACAGAAGGCCTCAGAAAAGGTCTATCCCCAGGCTCAGACTCCCCCTCCTGCTGCCTTGGGAACATGGCACATTTAAAGGGTCTTAGATCTAAAGGGCCTTAAACACAAATATCAGATAGATTTCTGTTCTCTTTTCAATGAGGGAGAAAGTGCCATTGAAAAGGAGACTAAACTGCATTTGGCTCTTTTCAGTTCAAACTGATTGATTCAAAAAAGAGCAACATCCAAACTTGAAATGATTGGACAATGTTCCTGCTACAGCTAGAATAGATTCTGGGTCACTTTGTTCCTCCATTTCAATCCTTGTTCTTCAGTTTGGCATCAAGAAATACCTAAATCAAGGCTAGGAGTGATGGCTCCCGCCTGTAATTCCAGCACTTCGGGAGGCCGAGGCAAGCGGATCACGAGGTCAGGAGATCGAGACCATCCTGGCTAACGCGATGAAACCCCGTCTCTACTAAAAAAATACAAAAAATTAGCCGGGCGTAGTGGTGGGCGCCTGTAGTCCCAGCTACTCGGGAGGCTGAGGCTGGAGAATGGCGTGAACCCAGGAGACGGAGCTTGCAGTGAGCCGAGATTGCGCCACTGCACTCCAGCCTGGGCAACAGAGTGAGACTCTGTCAAAAACAAACAAACAAGCAAAAAACCTAAATCAGTACAGTGCTTTCACTGCATAGTTCCCAACCCTGGCCACATTGAATCAGCTGGGGGCACCTGAGAGCACTGACAGCCAGGCCCTGCCCCCGACCTGCTGAGCAGGAGAATGAAAATCTTACATCTTAAGACACTCATGGAGCACCTACTGTACCCATTACAGGGCTGGACTCTGTGGAAGACATGAAGTGTATGTAACTCACTTCCAGCCCTCGAAAAGCACACAGTCCAGTTAGAGACAGATTCACACACCCCAAACCAGAATAGGATGAACAGGCACCCAGATGCAGAGTTTAGGAAATGATGCTGCTTTGGGATCCAAGAACCCCCTGAGGAATGTGGAGGAAGGACACATTTCCTAACAGTAATTTGAGTATGTGACTCTGTGCTTGACGCTTCTGTGCAGTTCTGGCGCTATGGAGAGTGGGTGGACGTAGTTATTGATGACTGCCTGCCAACCTACAACAATCAACTGGTTTTCACCAAGTCCAACCACCGCAATGAGTTCTGGAGCGCTCTGCTGGAGAAGGCTTATGCTAAGTAAGCAACGCTTTGGAATGTGAGATGGGACTAGAGGTGAGAAAGGGGGTTGCAAAATCCAGCCAAGGCCTCACTCACAGGAAGAGGCATGTGCCTCTGTACACACATATGTGTGGGTGTTGGTATCCAACTGTGACCCAAAGTTAGGGATCAGTTCCAGGCAGCAACAGCTCTAATTAAAAACATTACATTTACGAGTAGAAATGAAGATTTGCCTAGAAGACCTTTAGCTTTAGCTTACCAAGGCGAGTTCTTTCATTGCGCCTCCATGGTGGCATTGCAAGTCTTGGATCAGAGCATCCTATCTCTGGAACTCAAATCCCAGGGTCTTGCTTGGCTCAACCTCACGTGCTTATAGCATATTTATAAAACCATGTTGTCTCTCAACTTAAAAGCTCACCCCAGATGCTAATAATGGATTTAAAAAATTTTTTTGAAACAAGGTCTCACTCCGTAACGCAGGCTGGAGTGCAGTGGTGCAGTCACGGCTCACTGCAGCATTGACCTCCAGGGTTCGAGGTGCTCTTCCCACCTCAGCCTCCCAAGTAGCTGGGACTACATGTGGGCATCACCATGCCCAGTTAATTTTTGTAGAGACAGGGTTTTGCCATGTTGCCCAGACTGGTCTCGAACTCTTGGGCTCATGCAATCCACCAGCCTCGGCCTCCCGAAGTGCTGGGATTGCCGGTGTGAGCCACCACACCGGCAGCTGCTAATGACTTTAATGCAGCCCTTCCTCAAGGTTCAGGATGTAGTGAAAATAGCTCTCAGGAAGTGGGAATAGCTGGGTTTCAATCCCAGTGCCTCTGGCTCTCTGTGTTCTTGGGTGGGTCACTTAGCCTCTTGAGCTCAGTTTCTTCGTTTATGAAGAAAGGGAATCGTTTCCACCCCATTAGCTCACAGGGTTAATGTGGAATTGATGAAAGAACATCACAGCATCCAAGAGGTAAAGTTCTGGTGGCAGTGGTACCTGAGCTTTGTTTCCTGGAACTCTGTGACCCCAAATTGGTCTTCATCCTCTTTCTAAGGCTCCATGGTTCCTACGAAGCTCTGAAAGGTGGGAACACCACAGAGGCCATGGAGGACTTCACAGGAGGGGTGACAGAGTTTTTTGAGATCAGGGACGCTCCTAGTGACATGCACAAGATCATGAAGAAAGCCATCGAGAGAGGCTCCCTCATGGGCTGCTCCATTGATGTAAGTCTGGGGTATGGGGCACAGGGCAGGGAGCTCCAAGTGTCAGGAAGCCTTTTACCCAATGAAGGGCAGCACAGAGCTTTTGTGTGGGACAGAGCGCATGTTTCGTTTGAGGAAGCAAGAACTGGCTGTCAACTTTGAGGACTGGGCATTTCTCAAGGGAGAACAGTTCTTGGGGATTTTCAATAAAGACACTGGTCAGGGACATTTCAAGCTCTGGAATGTCAGTGGAAATCAGTCCAGAGGCCTGTGTCAGTGGAGGCCTCCCTTGCTGATGCTCCTCAGTCTCAGCACGCTCCCATTAAGCTGGTCACATACTTGGCTGTGGACCTGAGCCCCCCATTTCCCTAAGAAAGCCTCCCAGTCACTGCACTTTCACCACACCCCCCACTTGGGACGTGGGCTTTGTGTTGTTACCTGGGAGAAGCTAAACCCGAAGCCCCTTTCAGTGCAAAGAAATGCTGTGAACTGAGACAGGAGCCAAGGGTAGGGAGATGGCCACCCATGGCCAGGCCTCCTTCAGGGGGCATGTCTTCCCTGAGGGCTGCTCAGTATATTGCTATGATAGGCTTAGTGGTTTCCATCGGGGAGGATGGGGTCCAAGCTGAATTCCTGTCCCTTTCTCCCCATAACACGCCCGGTGGAGCTTGGAAGATGAGTTAGCACACAACAGCATGGATGAACTTTTTTTTCCTGTATCATTTTTCTCCATCTTTCCTCCATTCGTGCTCTGTTGATCTCTCCTCTCTCCCTTTGTCTGTCCCATCTCTTCCTCCTCTCTCCTTCCCTTTCCACCCTTCTGTATTTGTTCTTTCCCTCTCCTGGGTTGTTCCCTGCTCTCTCTGTTGGGCCTCAGGATGGCACGAACATGACCTATGGAACCTCTCCTTCTGGTCTGAACATGGGAGAGCTGATTGCACGGATGGTGAGGAATATGGATAACTCGCTGTTCCGGGACTCAGACCTCGACCCCAGAGCCTCAGTTGAAAGACCGACCCGGGTGTGTATGCCTCCGATTATCAGGACTGACCATCCCTCCAACCCACACGACCCCGCCCTGCCAGTGTCAGACTCCCCTCAGCAGCCAGGGCCTTACCCACACACCCCTACCTGCCTCCTCCCAAGGGTCTGGGTTGAAATAACTTGCTCAGCCAAGGCTCCTGAAGAACGTGCAAGAACCAGGATTTTGGAGGGAATCTCTGCTGGAGTTTCTGCATATTCCATGGTCCAGGCAGTTCCTCTTATAACGAACTATCAGACAGAAATAGCAGAGAGACTTAATTTATTTTAAAATACTTTTCCTCTTCTAATGTATTCATTTATTCATTCAGCACTTATTTTTGAGCTCCTACTATGCTCCAGGCACTCCTCTAGCAAAGCAAATTCTCTCCTCTTTTTCAGTATTTGTGGAAAAAGCAAGGTCTCCCTCTTGTAGCGTTTATATTCTAATACTTTCATAAGTTATACCTGCTCACTGGAGAATACTGAGCCATACAGAAAAACACAGAAGAAAATGTCACGTATATTTTTCCCCATGTAAAGATAACCACTGTTAACACCTAGTATATGTTCTTCCAGGATTTTTCTATGCACACACTGAATCTGTATTTTTATTTTTTAAATGTTTTCATATTGTATGTACCTCTTTGCAGCCTGCTTTTTTCAGTTAGTTTGATTTTTTTTTTTTTTTTTTTTTTTTTTTTTGGAGACCAAGTCTCGCTCTGTTGCCTAGGCTGGATCACAGTGGTGCCATCTCGGCTCACTGCAACCTCTGCTGCCCAAGTAAAAGTAATTCTCCTGCCTCAGCCTCCTGACATAGCTGGGATTACAGGTGCACACCACCACACCTGGCTAATTTTTGTATTTTTAGTAGAGATGGGGTTTCACCATGTTGGCTGGAATGGTCTTGAACTCCTGACCTCAAGTGATCCACCTGCCCCAGCCTCCCAAAATGCTGGGATTACAGGTGTGAACCACTGCGCCCAGCCTAGTTTGATATTCTTAATGTGCCCAAAGTATTCTCCTGTAACATTTTTTAGTAGCTACACAATATTCAAACACGCAGATATGTTATAATTTATTTACCCGATACCCTATTATTGGAAAGCTGAGTTTTTTTTCTTTGTTTTGTTTTGCTACTATTCTAAAATGCTATAATGAACGTTCCAATAGATACATCTTTGTATACATCCATGGTGACTTCCATAGGACAGATTCCCAGCAGTAGAATTGCTGGGTTGAATGATATGCTTAGGTAATGACAGAAGACTCATTTCAAGCAGCTTCCCAGGTCTACAACTAAGGATTAATGAGTCTCCCGCCCCCTCCCAGTCCATTCAGCATGATCTGGATCATGAGGACTGAGATCTGGAAGAGACTGAGATCTGGGAGAGGCTGAGATGCCAAAAGCCCTGGCTCCATCCATACCCCTCACCCTGAAAAAGGCTCTAGGAATTCTGCAGCCTAGCAAGGCTGTGGGAAGCTCATTTTAAAGCTGTTACGTTAGTCGGCACACGGAAGCCATAGAGAGCCTATCCAGGGCTCATGGGACTTTAGTGATCCTACCCTTCTGCCAAGGATCCCCCATGGCTGCAGCTTGGAAATTTCTGCAAATGGAAGAGCTACCCCTTAGGCACAGTCATGTCTGAGCAGGGATCTCCTCGGGCCTTCTCAGAATTCTCTCCCTGGGCACTGGGACTCTTGATTTCTTGAATATTATGTTCTAGGTGGCTGTGGAGGAGGTGAGGGGATGTAAAGAAAAAGCCTAGACTTGGCCGGGCATGGTGGCTCATGCCTGTAATCCCAGCACTTTGGGAGGCTGAGGTGGGTGGATCACCTGAGGTCAGGAGTTCGAGACCAGCCTGGCTAACATGGTGAAACCCTGTTTCTACTAAAAATACAAAAAATTAGCTGAGCATGGTGGCACGTGCCTGTAATCCCAGCTACTCGGGAGGGAGGCAGGAAAATCGCTTGAACCCAGGAGGCGGAGGTTGCGGTGAGCTGAGATCGCACCACTGCACTCCAGCCTGGCCGACAGAGCGAGACTCTGGCTTGAAAAAACAAAAAGAAAAAGAAAAAAGAAAAAGCTAGACTTACGTGTCATCTAACCCCTTTTCTCAACCCCTTTCTCTTCCAGGAATAGTCAACCCTGGATGGCCTCAGGGGAAGGGGGATCCTGAAGCCCAGGGCAGCCTCCAACTCTACCCCTTCCTCCTTTGAAGGATACTAAGGAATCCAGAAAGGAGGGGCAGGGACGCTGTTACCCACCCCATATCCCAGCATCCACATTGCTCTCTGATGGTCAGGACAGAGCCTTCTCAGGGAGACTAGCTTGTCTGGAGCTGTGTCTCTTGACACTCTTAAAGAGCCAGTGAAGGTCTGTTCGTGGTCATGAGGCACACCTTCAGCGAGCAGAGTGGCCTGTGTCTTCACAGAGCCCGGAAAATGAACTAGTATGAACTTTGCCTCCAAGCAGCAGAACTTCTGTTTCCCTGCCCCTAATAGGCTCTCTGGTTACTGCTTTACAGACAATCGTTCCCGTTCAGTATGAGACAAGAATGGCCTGCGGGCTGGTCAGAGGTCACGCCTACTCTGTCACGGGGCTGGATGAGGTGAGCCTGGTGGGGCTTGGTGGGGCAGGGGCACCCTCCTGGGTTAACCTCCTGAAGTCAGGACTTAGCTGTTGGGGCCCCTTCCCTGTCTGCAGAGCTTGCCTCTGATCAGGACATTCAGTTCAAGGTCCAAGCCACGCAGAGGGGCCTGTGAAACTGGTAAAGGTGGATCCTGCCACAGTTGATGCATAGTTTGTTTATCTTTGCTTTTCGAGCTAAAGATGGCAATTTTTCCAACATTTCCAATGAATAAATTGAAATATCACTTAACTTTGCTTTTACAAAGTTGGTTTCATGTGTTCTTGAGCTTCCTGTTCTCTCATGTTCAGAAAGCTACATTTGTCTCTGGGTAGCCACGGGGACTGGTTCCAGAAGCCCCAGTGTTAACAAAATCTGCAGATGCTCAAATTCCTTCTATAAAATGGAGTAGTATTTGCATGTCACCTATGCACATCCTCCCGTATACTTTCAATCATCTCTGGATTACTTATGGTACTGAACACAATGGAAATGCTATGTAAATAGTTGTTACACTGCATTGGGGTTTTTTTGGTATTACTTTCTATTGTTTTTTTCTTTGTTTTTTGGAATATTTTTGATCCACAATTGGTTATATGCCAAAGCCATGGATACGAGAGGCTGCCTGTTCTGTTTTGGTCCTTCTGGGACTTCTGGGCTTTCCTGGGCCATGTCTGAGACAGGAACATTGTAAGGCCTGTTGCACACAGTTGGGCAGGTTGTGCCCTGTACAGAGGGATGGGCTGAGAGGGGCAGTTGCCTGCATCGGCCCATTGCAGCAGACCGGAGGAAGTCTGCTTGTTTGTAGTTCCTCAGTCAGCAGGGGCCTTTTGTCTGTCTGTCTGTCTGTCTGTCTTTCTCTCTCTCTCTCTTTCTCTCTTTTTCTCTTTTCTTTTCTTTCTTCTTTTCTTTCTTTCCTTTGAGATGGAGTCTCACTCTGTCACCCAGGCTGGAGTGCAGTGGCACAATATTGGCTCACTGCAACGTCCGCCTTCTGGATTCAAGCAATTCTCCTGCTTCAGCCTCCTGAGTAGCTGGGATTACAGGCGCGTGCCACCAGGCCCAGCTAATTTTTGTGTTTTTAGTAGAGACGGGGGTTTCTCCATGTTGGTCAGGCTGGTCTCGAACTCCTGACCTTGTGATCTGCCTGCCACGGCCTCCCAAAGTGCTAGGATTACAGGCGTGAGCCACCACACCTGGCCAGCAGAGGCCTTTTTTCTCATTTATATGAAGACACCTGATGTGCTAGCAGGCCCTACTGTTTATGCCCCGCCTCCTCCCCTGAAGCTCATAATAGCAGGATGTTCCTGAGAAAATTGCCTCTTAGAAGATAGAGAGGAGATGGCCAAGCCCTAAATCAGGCAGACTCAGGGGGAAAGGTCTGACCCTTCCATTCCCCAGCACACTTCTGATGAGTCTCCTTGGCCAGAGTCAGGCAGAACACCCTCCTGTAAGGGATTTGCCCCCCAGCCCCCTCCCAGCCCGCAGGGCAAGACAGAAGATTCCCTTTCCAGACAGGCTGCGGAGCATGAGAGCTCTTTCTCTGTCTTAAGGTCCTGTTCAAAGGTGAGAAAGTGAAGCTGGTGCGGCTGCGGAATCCCTGGGGCCAGGTGGAGTGGAACGGCTCTTGGAGTGATGGGTAGGTGAGGGGACCCCACGGGATTGGCAGTGGGGGACAACAGGGCCCCGGACAAGGCTGTGTTGGGAACTGAGCCATGAGAGTATTGAAGATGCTTGGTATAAGATCACCCTCAAAACCAATGATCCACAGAGAAGAGGGGCACAAGTGTTGGCTCCAGGGAAGGGCCAGGAGCAGAAGCGGGGTGCCGGGGACCCAGAGAGGTTACTGACAGCCATGGGCTGGAAAGGAAGGATTCCAGAAAGCGTGGGGAAGGTCCAGGCAGGAAAAGAGTATGAATGCAGGGGTCTGGGCTAGACAAGTGACTTCCCTTCTTGGAGTCTTGTGTTGCCTTACCTGTAAAATGAGAACAGTATTATTAGCACTTACTGTGTGGGCTGTTATGAGGAGTAAATGGGACTATTTTTGGAAAGTTCTGAGCCATTGCCAAGATTTCCTTACCCATGCTATCCCTGTATGAAGGCACAAGAGCCCTTTGAATTTTACTGCTTATCACGGAAAGGAATAGACTGGGCGCAACAAAAATAACAAACATGGGAAGTTATTTTGACGGCTCCAGCACATTTGCAAAACTTCCATGGTCCCACTGGTTCCTGATGACCTCTACTGAATGGGAGGCGATTCACTACTGAATGAGCCCATGAGCTCCTCTTATTTCGAGAGGGGGATGGCAGGACTCAGTAGAGGAGAAGGACCACCCCCAGGCAGCCTGGGCCCCTGGCTTCTGTGCTTATGTACCGCTGGGTACCTCTTAGCCCAGCATGTAATTACTGGTTTGTTCAGTCATTCGTTTAGCAAATGTTTCTTGGGCACCTACTACATAGGAGGCACAGGTCAAGGCACTGGGAATATTCTGTGAACCCACAGCCTCCCTTGATACACTGTGATTAGGGGCTGATCCTCGTGTCCTGACTGCCTCCTGCAGACATTCACATGCCTTCCTTCACTTATCCACGCTACAAATCCTTACTTCCTCAGTGCTGACTTCTGCCAGGCCCTAGGCTACCGTCTGGGGATGTAGAAATGAACGCAGACTCATGGGCCTTGTGCCTGTGGGTTTAAGGTCTGGGGAAGGACAGGCAAGCACACACCAATAATTGAGATCAATGCCACAGTAAGGATCACAAAGAGGGGGCCTCCGCACCTAGTTTGGGTGGGAGGGGAAGCGTAGAGAAAGGTTACCTGGAGGGAGCGACTCTCTGCTCTGGGAAGGCCCTCAGTGACTCCTCAGTTGTCTACTTCACTGGCCCAGGTCACCTGCAGGGACCCTTGCTGTGTTCTCCAGCCTCAGAGCTTGGTGTGCGGCCCCACCCTGCTTACCATGACGCTGCCATCACAGGGGCTGGAGACAAGTGGACCCAACGCTGTTCACTCAAGGAGATTCCCTCTACTGCATCCCTCCTCCTGGTCTCAGGAATCTCCATGTCCCCTGCAGGGCTCTCTCACTGACTCCAAGCACCTCCTCAACCCCTTACCTTTCCAGGGAGCACCTAGTTTAGTTGAATTCTCCTCAGTGAGCCTGAAACATATGTGCACGTTATTGGCCCCATTGTGAGGAGAGAGAGAGTGTGAAAACTGCCCAGCCTTTAGAAACACAATGCTGGGCTGTTTCCGGCACAGGAAAGGAGATGTTTACAGGCTTGGCCTTTTTTTCTTAGTAACTCAGAGTTTCTTATTATATGACAGGCACTCTACTAACAGCTTTGCATGCATTATTTCATCTGCCTAGCCCAGCCCTGTGAACAGGTGACATAATCATTTTCCTTTTGCAATTGAGGAAGCAGAGTCTGACAGAGGTTAAGTGACCTGCCCAAGGTTGCATAGCTAGCACTATTATTAAATGGAACTCCCAGTTTGTCTATGTCCAGAACCGAATTCTTCTTTTTTTTGAGACGGAGTCTTGCTCCGCCACCCAGGCTGGAGTACAGTGGCGCAATCTCAGCTCACTGCAGCCTCTGCCTCCTGGGTTCAAGCGATTCTTCTGCCTCAGCCTCCTGAGTACCTGGGACTATGGGCGCTCACCACCACACCCTGCTAATTTTTGTATTTTTAATAGAGACGGGGTTTTACCATATTGGCCAGGCTGGTCTCGAACTCCTGACCTCATGATCCGCCCACCTCGGCCTCCCAAAGTGCTGTGATTACAGGTGTGAGCCATTGCGACCGGCCCAGAACCCAATTCTTAACCTTTAAAGTATGATGAGGAGAAGGGTCAAGCCCTCGCAGGCCCATTTAAGGAGTTTAGGCTCAGTCTTGATGTGAGAAGTCACTGCTATTGGGTTTCACACTGAGGGTAACAGATGAGGTCAATATTTTGGTGGTTCACAGTGGCTGCAACTCTTTGTATTTCTCCTGTCCCAACCTACATCAGGCCTTCCCTTCTTCCTCCTTCCTTAATTCCTCCGTTTTCCCACCAGTTGGAAGGACTGGAGCTTTGTGGACAAAGATGAGAAGGCCCGTCTGCAGCACCAGGTCACTGAGGATGGAGAGTTCTGGTGAGTCCAGAACCCAGGAAGACCCAGAAGGGTAAGGGATGGGGAAAAGAGGGGAAATCTCAGACGTCAGTCCCCAGCTGAGGTTATCAGATTCCAGCCCTTGAGAGATGTGGGCTGTGTTCTTCTCCTCCAGCCCAAGGCCCAGCAAGGATGAGGTTCTGAGAGGAGCCTTCCAGGCCACAGGGACAACTGAGCCCAGGACCAGACCAACATGACATGGCTCTTGCCTCCCCTGTGCCCCTCCGCCGCATACTCTATTCCAGCCACATGCACCTTGGCCTTAGCACAGTTCTTTTCTGAGCCTAGGAAGCTCCACTTACCCTGATCTTCCAACGTCAACCTCACCGTCTCAGGTTGCTTCTACTCAGGCTTCAAGTCTCAGCTTAAGGAGAGCCCCCTAAGTTCCCCCAGGACTGGGATTAATTTATGATGCTCATCACCCTTAAAATTGTTTGCTTGTCTGTTCTTTCCCAAACAATCTCTCCTTTCCGTGCACCTGGCACAGCGCCTGGTGCACAGCAGTGGGACACACGGTAATCTTTTGGAGAATGGAATTTCTGTTGAGCTCCCCCATCAAGATACATGAGTTGGAGTCATTGTTTTTTAAGATTTCTGCACCTAGGCCGGGCGCGGTGGCTCAAGCCTGTAATCCCAGCACTTTGGGAGGCCGAGACGGGCGGATCACAAGGTCAGGAGATCGAGACCAGCCTGGCTAAATACGGTGAAACCCCGTCTCTACTAAAAAATACAAAAAACTAGCCGGGTGAGGTGGCGGGCGCCTGTAGTCCCAGCTACTCGGGAGGCTGAGGCAGGAGAATGGCATAGACCCGGAAGGCGGAGCTTGCAGTGAGCTGAGATGCGGCCACTGCACTCCAGCCTGGGCGACAGAGCGAGACTCCGTCTCAAAAAAAAAAAAAAAAAAAAAAAAGATTTCTGCACCTTATTGTTCATAAGTTATACTTCAGTTTCTTAAAAAGGAAAAGTATGTAAATGAAGAATTAATGGATAGGAACAAAAAATGAAAATGGGTTTTATGGGTTTCTAATTTTTATAGCCATGTTATTTGTATTCCAATTACAACTGATCAGAGGTGCAGAAAGCTTTTAGGTGTATTTATTAAGAGAGTTGTGTTAGAGTTGGAAATCACATTCCTCATACCATATGAAAGCAAAGCCTCATGACAGTTTGAGTATTTTAGTTTCCTTTTCTTCAGATTCCTTCATATTTTTCAGCTTGAAGAGGTATATGTAGAATATAAGTTTGGACATAAACCAACAGGCAAATTTGTAGCAGAGCTTTTCTCATTACGAGGAAATTTGAGTTTTCCAAATCAATGATGATAATAAAGCTTAAGCAATAGCTAAGAGCAGTCACTTAGAAAACGAGATGCAAGCTGGGTATGGTGGCATATGCCATAGTCTCAGCTACTTGGGACGCTGAGGTGGGAGGATCGCTTGAGCCCAGGAGTTCAAGTATAGCTGGAATAACATCATGAGACCCCATATCTAAAAAATAAAAACAAAAAAAAAAAATAAAGAAAATGAGAAACATGGCTTGTGGCCAATATGTTAGGGAAAAAAAAAAAAAGTTCTCTTTTTCTTAGTTCCTTTTGGGAAAATAATAATTCTTCTGTCAACATATTTAATGTCTGACACTGTGGCAGACATTAAGTATGTTGTCTTACACTTGGGAAGGCCAACGTGGGCGGATCACTTGAGGTCAGGAGTTCGAGACCAACCTGGCCAACATGGTGAAACCCCATCTCTACTAAAAATACAAAATTTAGCCAGGCATGATGGGTGTGGGCCTATAATTCCAGCTACTCGGAAGGCTGAGGCAGAAGAATCACTTGAACCCGGGAGCCAGAGGTTGCAGTGAGCCCAGATTGCACCACTGCACTCCAGCCTGGATGACAGAGTGAGACTCTGTCTCGGGGGGAAAAAAAAAAAAATAAAAAAAGTTGTCTTAGTATAATGTCAAGGGAAAGGTTTTTTGTGTTTTTATTACTTTATTTTTTAATTTATTTAAAAACTACAATAGAGATGGGCCTTGCTATATTGCTCAGGCTGGTCTCAAACTCCTGGGCTCAAGTGATCCTCCTACCTTGGCCTCCCAAAATGCTGGGATGTGGGCCTGGGTAACATATGGGACCCCAACTTTACAGAAAAATTTAAAATTAGGCAGGTGTGGTGGTGTGTGCCTGTAGTCCCAGCTATTTGAGAGGCTGAAGCAGGGGGTCACTTGAGCCCAGGAGGTTGAGGCTGCAGTGAACTATGATTGTACCACTGCACTCCATCCTGGGCAACAGAGCAAGACCCTGTCTTAAAAAAAAAAGTGCTGGGATTACAGATGTAAGCCACCACACCTGGCCTTCTATTTTTTATGGATATATCATAGCTATATATATTTTGGGGGTACATATGTACCCATATTTTGGGGGTACATATGATATTTTGATACATATATACAATGTGTAATGATCAAATTAGGGTAATTGGGATACCATCATCTCAAATATGTATCTTTTCTTTGTGTTGGGAACATTACAATTCTTTTCCTCTAGCTATTTTGAAAGATACTATAGGCTGGGCATGGTGGCTCATGCCTGTAATCCCAGCACCTTGGGAGGCTGAGGTGGGTGGATCACCTGAGGCTAGGAGTTTGAGACCAGACTGGCCAACATGGTGAAACCCCATCTCTACTGAAAATACAAAATACAAAAATTAGCTGAGCATCATGGCAAGCAACCTGTAATCCTAGTTACTTGGGAGGCTGAGGCAGGAGAATCCCTTGACCACAGGAAGTGGAGGTTGCAGTGAGCCAAGATCACGCCATTGCACTTCAGCCTGGGCAACAGAGTGAGACTGTCTCAAAAAAAAAAATATATATATATGTATACACACACACACACGTATATATACAGACGTGTGTGTGTATATATACATATATGTATACACGTATACGTATTAAATGTGTGTGTGTGTATATATACGTATATATATATATACAGTATGAAAGCAAAGCCTCATGACAGTTTGAGTATTTTAGTTTCCTTTTCTTCAGATTCCTTCATGTTTTTCAGCTTGAAGAGGTATATGTAGAATATAAGTTTGGACATAAACCAGCAGGTGAATTTGTAGCAGAGTTTTTCTCATTACAAGGAAATTTGAGTTTTCCAAATCAATGATGATAATATGTATACAGTTTACTTATATATTTTACACAATACGTATATATTTTAATACATATATATGTGTACACACACATATATATACACATATATATGTCTGTATATATATGTGTGTATATACACACACACACTATACTATAAATTCTTGTTTAGCTGTGTTTGCCTTACTGACTGTGCTACTGAGCACTAGAGCCTTTTTTTTTTTTTTTTTTTTTTTGAGACAGAGTTGCCCAGGCTGGAGTTGCCCAGGCTGGAGTGCAATGGCGCCATATCAGCTCAATGCAATCTCTGCCTCCTGGGTTCAAGTGATTCTCCTGCCTCAGCCTCCCAAGTAACTGGGATTACAGGTGCCCGCCATGACGCTCAGCTAATTTTTGTATTTTGTATTTTCAGTAGAGATGGGGTTTCACCATGTTGGCCAGGCTGGTCTTGAATTCCTAGCCTCAGGTGATCCACCCGTCTCAGCCTCCCAACGTGCTGGGATTACAGGCGTGAGCCACCGCGCCCGGGTGAGCACTAGAGCTTATTTCTTCTATTTAACTGTATTTTGTATCCATTAGCCACCCCCTTTTCATTCTCCCCTCTCCTTCCCTTCCCAGCCTCTGGTAACCACCATCTACTCCCTCTTCCATTACATACACTTTGTTTTAGCTTTCACATATGAGAGCATGCGACATTTGTCTTTCAGGGCCTGGCACATTTTTGAATCATTGTTAGGAAAGATGGTGGTTTGGAGTAGATGCATCAGAAGTGACAGCGTTTGCCCTGAAAAGGAAACAGAGGCTCCTCTGGGACCCTGGCCAAGTTCCTGTGACTGTTTTATTATTGTGCATGTTAGCCCTGGGGTCTTCCACTCCCAGCCCTCCTCACCTTTTCCTGTATGGGTCTCTCTTTTCTTCCAACCTCTCAGGATGTCCTATGAGGATTTCATTTACCATTTCACAAAGTTGGAGATCTGCAACCTCACGGCCGACGCTCTGCAGTCTGACAAGCTTCAGACCTGGACAGTGTCTGTGAACGAGGGCCGCTGGGTGCGGGGTTGCTCAGCCGGAGGCTGCCGCAACTTCCCAGGTGAGAGATGCTCTTGATGGGGGGAGGGTCCAAGCAGAACAAGTTCCAGGCAGAAGAAGCCTAACTAGCGCTTATGAAGTCTCTCTGTTCCAGATGTCCACTATCTTATTAAACTCTCCCTATTTTACTGAGAAGGAAACCACCATGCTGAGAAGTTTGCAGTAGGGAGCTGGTAGTGACTTTGAAGCAGGAAATTGTGGGAACAATGCAGATGTTGCTTGACTTATGATGAGGTTATGTCTAGATAAACCCGTCCATCTTTGAAAACACCCTGAGTCGAAAGTGCATTTAATATGCCTAATCCACCAAACGTCATAGCTTAGCCTGGCCCACCTTAAACATGCTCGGAACACTGACCTTAGCCTAACTAACCTCAGCCTAACCTTAGGGCAAAATCATCTAACACAAAGCCTATTTTACAATACAATGTTAAATATCTCATGTAACTTACTTAATACTGCACTAAAAGTGAAAAACAGAATGGTTGTATGAGTACTCGAAATCCAGTTTCTATTGAATGTGCATCACTTTCACATTGTAAAGTTAAAAAATTGTAGCTGAACCATCCTAAGTCGGGGACTGTGAGTACTGTGTCAGTAACAGTAAGGGCAGTATTGGAGAACCAAGTTAGCAGCTGCTGCAATAGTTTAAGTCAGAGATGATGAAAACCTAGACCAAGTCAGTAGCAGCAGAGATAGAGGGGAGAGAGCAGATTTAGGGAGAGCATATTGGGTGATGTATGGAAGGAAGAATAAAGAATGATGTCAAGATTCCCAGTTGGGGACCTGACAACATTACAACATAAGACACACAAGACTGGGTGGGTGGCTCACGCCTATAATCCCAGCACTTTGGGAGACAGAAGCAGGAGGATCACTTGAGCCCAGGAGTTCAAGACCAGCACAAGCAACATAGTGAGATCTCATCTTTACAAAAAATTTAAAAAATGAGGCAGGAGGATTGCTTGAGCTCGGGAGGTTGAGGCTGCAATGAACCATGATCGTGCCATTGCACTCCTGCCTGGGTGACAGAGTAAGACCCTGCCTCAACAAAAATAAAAAAGACAAGAGAAAAATATCAGCGTGTTGTTTTTGGTGGAGTTGACTGTGGAGTTATAGGGAAAGGAATTTAGCTTGGGACAAGGAAAGGTTGAGGTTCCTGTAGAGTATCCCAGTGAAGATTTGTAATAGAGTATTGGATGCGCATATTAGATGGCACTTGGTGATATGATAAGAACTCAAAAAATAAAAGACCAGAAACGGTGGCTCATGCCTGTAATCCCAGCACTTTGGGAGGTGGAGGCAGGCAGATCACTTGTGGTCAGGAGTTCAAGACCAGCTTGGCTAACACGGGGAAACCCCGTCTCTACTAAAAATACAAAAATTAACCAGGGATGGTGGCGGGCGCCTATAATCCCTGCTACTTGGGAGGCTGAATCAGAAGAATCGCTTGAACCCAGGAGGCAGAGGCTGCAGTAAGCCGAGATCGTGCCACTGCACTCCAGCCTGGGCAACACAGCCAGACTGTGTCTCAAAAAATAAAAAATAAAAAAAAAAAAGGTAAGAGAGATTGAGGCTGGGATATATGGCTCAGGCATCATGAGTGTGTAGGGGGCAGTTAAAAAGCAGAAGTAAGAAAGATTGCCTAGGGAGGCAGGAAGGGTGAGGTAAGAGGAGAAGAGGCCGAGACCAGATTCCAGACACCAACAGCGTTTAAGGTGCAGGTAAGGAAAACAAAATCATCAGCAAAGACTGAGAACGAAAGCTCAGAGGAAGGAAGAGCCACACATCCGGTCAGTACAGCTCTCTCTGTATAAAGGGAGCACCCCGCCCCCCGCATAGACAAATGCCTGAATCGTGTTTTCTGTTGATATTTTCTAAGCACCTAGATGCAGGGCATAGAAATAAATAGGTTCCCTCTGTCTCATCTCCTTCCTGCCCTCTGAGAGGCCCCTCTGAATGCATGTTTCCTTTCTGGGGGGGCAGATACTTTCTGGACCAACCCTCAGTACCGTCTGAAGCTCCTGGAGGAGGACGATGACCCTGACGACTCGGAGGTGATCTGCAGCTTCCTGGTGGCGCTGATGCAGAAGAACCGGCGCAAGGACCGGAAGCTGGGGGCCAATCTCTTCACCATCGGCTTCGCCATCTATGAGGTGTGCAGTCCTGATCGGCTCCAGCCCGGGAAACATACTTCCCCAGCGAGGACGCTTCCAGGGGCTTCTAGAGGGGTCCTCTGGCTTCCTCGATATTCAGTGACCCCCAGAGCTCCTGGTATCAGGCCCACTTGTGTTAGTAACAAGCAAAAAATGCCAGGGGGGCATCGGAGCAGCAGTGGGGTGGGCCTGGCAGGACGGGTGCTGGGGATCAGGCTTCCACATGCGGGCTGCAGTTGCTGGCATTCCCTTCCGCAGGCTCCTCATCCCCATTCAGATCTGAAGCATCTTCCTTTCTGTTTCTCCTCAAGGTTCCCAAAGAGGTATAGCAGCAGCAGCAGCCAGCAGTTGTGTGCAGCACTACCCAGGGGGCCCCGAGTCTGTCTGTGGCTCATCGAGAAGCTTCCTGGTGGGGTGTGTGGGCAGGACTGTGATAGGAGAGGGCCTTGCCCGCGTTAATTCCACTGCAGAGCAGGTGCCTCGGGGCATTGCATGACCTGTGACTACCACCCCCAGATGTGTACTTTCCCCCTCGCACCAGACACCGCGTGTCACACGCCTTTGCACACGCACCCTCCATGCTCACAGCCACACACACAGTCACACAGACGCATTCTGAGGGTGGCTGCCCTCTTGGGATGGAGGAATCACTTCCCTCAGAACCCAGCCAAGTCCTCTAGGCCTTCTTGGGGGTCCTTCCAGCCTGAGGGGCTCTGGAGCTGAGGAGCAGCTGTTCTGGTAAGTGTCCCTGAGTGTGGGGATGGCACAGTTGCCATTCACTGTGAATCACAACAGAAAAGGAAGTGAGGTAGGGAGGCTATTTAAGCCTTGGGAGTCTGAAGTAGGGAGGTTGAGACTGTGACATGGGTGACCAGGGAGTCGGGAAGGGACCCTCGGAGGTGGCTGTGGCAGGACAGGGCGTCCCTCCCAAGCGGCTCACGTCCCGCGGGCTCTCCCATGTCTCAGATGCACGGGAACAGGCAGCACCTGCAGAAGGACTTCTTCCTGTACAACGCCTCGAGGGCCAGGAGCAAAACCTACATCAACATGCGGGAGGTGTCCCAGCGCTTCCGCCTGCCTCCCAGCGAGTATGTCATCGTGCCCTCCACCTACGAGCCCCACCAGGAGGGGGAATTCATCCTCCGGGTCTTCTCTGAAAAGAGGAACCTCTCCGAGTGAGTGCCCGCCCAGCTTTCCCACCTGTTTCTAAAAGCTCACGTGGCCCACTCCAGAGATGGAAGGCGTGAGGCAGCTAGTCACGTCTCCTCCAGAGGTCCTGGGATATGTTGACCAGCTGAACGTCTTCTGCTCCTGAGCCACTGGCCACATTACCCCCATTCATTCACTCATCTGTTCTGCAGATATTTATTGAGCACCTACTATGTTCCAGGCACTCTCCTAGGCACTAGGCCTAGAGTACTGAAGTAAACAGAAAGAAATCCCTGCCTTCATGGAGCTTAATATTCTAATATGAGACAATAATGGATAGGAAAAATATACGTAGCACGTTAGATTTGGAGAGGCGATATGGAGCAAAAATAAAGTACGGAAGAGGGATAGGAGGTGTTGGGGATGCTTGAAATTTTAGGTTAGCATGGCCAGGAAAGCCACATCCTGTCCCTGGTCACCATAGATGAACTCATAGCCCCTGTCACTCTGATCTCTGTCCTTGGAAGACGCACCAGGTACATGGGTAGGTGGCTGGCCATGGGGGGCTCTGAGCAATGCCAACAAGAACCTGTGTGCCTGGGCTTGGCTGTTGGGGATGGTGCTGACATGGGCTGGTTCCTGGGGTTGGGGGTGTTAGTTCCAGGGGTTCTCTAGAGGCTGGTCCTGGCTTGGCCGCGGGAAGCCGTGCACCAGAGCAAACCCTCCACGGGCTTCCTGCTTGCTTCTGGTGACACTGAGACCCCACATGTCTGTGTTCCTCACAGGGAAGTTGAAAATACAATCTCCGTGGATCGGCCAGTGGTGAGTGGTTTAGATCTTCTGTGTGGAAAGTCCAGAGGGTACCCTTCTCTGACCATGCAGGGGACAGATGGTACAGGGGACAGATGGTGCAGGGGACAGTGGGCAGTGGCAGAGGGAATGGGAGTCTGGGCTGTGCTGAGCAGTCCCTCCATGGCACTGCAAATCTTGCTTGGCATGGCCGGAAGTAATGGGCCTTATGCACCGGGGGCCATTGAGGCAGTTCAGGGGCTGGGAATTACGGGAGAGGGTCCTGGAAGGGAGAAGCAATTTGAACAATCAGAGGGAGGGAACAAGACCACAGGAAGGGATGACAAGAGCCGCAGTGAACACTGGATTCTGAGCCTGGATAACATTGGATTTCACACTTAGAGAAAAGAAAGTAAGCTGGTGCGGACCTGGTGTCGACACCTGGATCCTCCACCTACCAGTGGGGTGACCCGGACAATTTCTATAGTCGCTCTCACTCAGTTTCCTGCTCTGTAAAACGGGGACAATAATGTGCCTCGCAAGCCTTTTGGGAGGTTTCATCAATGAGATGATGTATGTGAAGTGTCTGGCACAGCATGGGCACTCAAACAGGTGTTTTTCACATTTTACACTTTACAAGGTACTTTTCACATGTGTTATCGCAATACTTGCGAGGTTTCTGAGAGGTAGACGGGGTTATAATCCCTGGTGTTCAAGAAAGGAAGTAGGGGCTCAATGGGGTTGAATGACTGCTCTGAGTTCACAGAGCTCAGTAAGTGGCAGGGTTGGAATTCACATTCAGACTCTCTGACTCCACGCTGAGGCCAGCCCCCGGCAGTGCGAAGCCCAAAGTCTGAAGCACAGAGTGCTGTGTGTTGGGCTCTCTGTGCTGAGTCTTGTGACTGCCTTGGGGCTTTGGGCTGTAGTCAGTTGGCAGTCTGTGGGGATGACATAGGTCAATGGGAGGACAAATACCCCTCTGAACAGCCTTCTGGGCAGTGAGTCATGGTCATAAATCTGACCCTGACCCAGGTCTCTAAGTGCCTTCTGAATGACCACAGGCGATTGGTTTTAGTGGTAGGTGTGGGGGGGTCTGTTCTGGTCATCTGGATGCTGGTCATCGGTGTACAGTATTGATCAGGACCTGCAAACTCAAAAGCTTACAGGAGCTGGCATGTCACCTGAGTAGAGTAGGCAGGTGCAGGGGTTTTGATGTCCCTGCACTGACACAGTTGTCTGCAGTTCTCACCTGACATTTGGCTCCAGTGTGGAGGGTCCACAGGAATGTTGGGGCCATGGGCAATCTGGAAGACACGGGGAGCAGCGGCCCTCGGCTTAGCGGATAGTTGCCACAGGGATTACAGGCCCAGGCAGCCTGCCAGAGCTGCTGCTTTTACCAAAGAAAACCTCCCTATGGTAAATGGTTGCTCGAAGATTTTTTAAAATATTCTATAAATCAAAATCCATTGTCAGGTCAGTTTGAGTGAGCCATGTTTTTGGTGTTTTAGTAACCAATTTCATTTTTATTATTATTTCTATTTATTTATTTATTTTGAGATGGAGTTTCGCTCTTGTCACCCAGGCTGGAGTGCAGTGGCGCGATCTCGGCTCACTGCAACCTCCGCTCCCCGGTTCAAGCAATTCTCCTGCCTCAGCCTCCTGAGTAGCTGAGATTACAGGTGCCCACCACCACGCCTAGCTAATTTGTGTATTTTTTAGTCGAGACGGGGTTTCACTATGTTGATCAGGCTGGTCCTGAACTCCTGACCTCAGGTGATCCACCCACCTCGGCCTCCCAAAGTGTTGGGATTACAGGCGTGAGCCACCGCACCCAGCCACCAATTTCATTTTTTAAAAAAAGGAAGAAAGCAAGCCTTAGCCAGAAGATCCTTTTCCTTGCCATATGCAGTAAGAGTAAATTACAAAAACAATGGCAGAGTAGTCACTGGTGTCTGGACATGGGGGAGAAAGAATTCTTTTCTCCCTTCACCCTCCATGCCCTTTTTTGGCTCCATGTGACTCAGATTTCTGGACCCCGGAGCCTCACCCCCAAGCTAAAGACCAGGATACAGGGAAGCCAAAAGCCACTGGCCATTCTGGCAACTTGCTTTTCACTTATTCTGCATTTACTGTTTCCTTTTCTTGTGCAGAAAAAGAAAAAAACCAAGGTAGGTGTGTGGGTAGAGAGCACGAAGTGTGTGTACTCATGCATGTGTGTGCATGCGTGTGTGTGTGTGCATGTGTGTTGGAGCTCATATGCATGCATGCATCAGAGTTGCCTCCTCCTCCCCCTCCTTCCCTGAGCTCCTGCTGGGGCTGAGAGTACAGTAATGACAGCTGAGATTTGCTGGGGGAAGGCTACGTGCCAAGCACTCTTCTAGGTGATTTCCATGATTAATTCCATCCTCACAACAGCCCTATCCCCATTTTCAGAGGGAGAAAAGGTACAGACAGATTGACTAACTTGCCCAAGGCCACACAGCCAGGGAGGGGCAGAGCCAGTACTTAGAGCCAGGCAGTCTGGGTCCAGAGTCTGTGTCCTGAACCACAAGAGGCCATCATACACCATCAGATTTGGTGCTAGCATTTCTGGTGGTGCCTGGTGGTGATGGATCCATCACAGGGGACCTCTGGGTACTGGTGCTGGCCCAGACCAGAGCTGACACTCATCAGGCACTACCACATGCCAGGCACTGTGCTTGGGGTCAAACTCTCTTTTTGTGTTTTTTCCCCCCAATTATAACAGTATCTACAAAGTAGGGTGCTGTTATTTTTCCCCTTTCATAGGTGAGATAGACTCAAAGAAGTGAACTTGCCCAAGGAACAGAACTAATAAGTGGGGAAAATGGAACTGGAAACCATGTCTGTTTACTCCAATACCTGTGTTTCTTGCCCTCTGTCTCTGCTGCCAGGCCCCTACACTTCAAGGCCTGCATTGTCCAGACCCACACTCAGGCCTGCTGGCGTGTGCCTGGCAGGGATGCTCCATGGCCACATCACATCCATCCTACACATCCTCCCTCAGACTGTGACCTCCATTTGCTCTGGGACACTTTGCTTAGAAGGCAGAGCAAGCCAGGGCCTCTGGAGCCTGCTGGGAGCCAAAGCTGGGGAGCCGTTTCCATGGGTCTATCTGCTTGAGCTGTCCTAGATGAGCCTCATGGAAGGGCAGTGACGCCTGAGCCCGGGCGGGCTGCTTTTCTGCTCTGAGAGGCTCTGCCTGCCCCGTTGTTCTCTTCATTGCAGCCTCAATCCCCACAGCCTTGCCTTCCCTGGGCTTTCCCTACAGGTGCACCGCACCCACCAGTGTTGGCGCCATGCAGCAGCCGCTCTCCACCCTTTTCATATCCTTGTCACTTGCACGAGCATGTCTTGAAAATATCCCTTGTTTGTGTAGTATCTTAAATGGTTCTGCAGTATGATTTTGCATTCCGTATCTCATTTGATCCCCACAAGAGCCCGATGAGGAGGGAAAGCAGGTTTTACTATTAAAGGATGAGTAAACTGAGGCCCGAGAGATTTCTCATATGAGGGGCAGGGCTGGGATTCCGGCCCAGTGTTCTGATGGCTCACCCACTGACCATGCCGCTGATCCGTGTCCTTTTTCAGTCTGTACTTTGCAGAGTCCTAGAGGATCCTTGGAGGTGCCTCAGTAGCTGCCATGGTGATGTGGGGTGCTGAGGGCAAAGAGCTCTGTTCTCATTAATCAGAGCAGCTCTGTTTCTTAATGACTTTATATACACGGTGTTTCTGCAGGAAATTTAATTTGAACAGTGTTTCTATCTGGAAAAAAAAAAAAGTCCACAAAATACTTGACAATCACTGCACTTTTAGCATTCTTAGCATTTCACATGCTGAGCTCAGTACTCCACCATGAGGAGGGATGGAGTGGGTATGAAAAGATAAAGAACTGAAGTCACACGGCTTGTCAGTGGCAGAGATAGAGCTTGAACTGAGGTTGAAGAGCTCCCGCCTGTTCTTTTCCTCTTCTCACTGGATAAAGCTGCTCCGAGAGGCTGCCTCAGTGTGCCTGTTCAGACTGTAATCCTCACTTCCTTCCTGCCCACTCCCTCCTTCCCTCCTTTCTCCAGCCCATCATCTTCGTTTCGGACAGAGCAAACAGCAACAAGGAGCTGGGTGTGGACCAGGAGTCAGAGGAGGGCAAAGGCAAAACAAGCCCTGATAAGCAAGAGCAGTCCCCACAGGTGTCTGAGCACGTGGCATGGGTGGGGGCGGCCAGCGCACTACGGGGGCTTCCTATGCGCTTGGGATACACGGGCTGGAGGCTTCCCAGGGGGTTGTCTTGAACATCTAGAGGTTTGGATTCGTCCCACTGACCTTTTCTCTCAGCAAGTTCCCCTGAAATTCGGGCTGCTGCTTGGGTGAATATCCCAGGATGGGGATTCCATTCTAGGAGTGGACTGGCAGGCTGAACCTCCCATGGAGCTGATCCAGCCAGGACAGAGAGAAGGGGAGGCAAAGGCTGAGACAGAATCAGCCCAGAGAGAAGGGGAGGCAAGGGCTGAGACAGAACCAGTTTGAGAGTAGATCTAGCCAGGACAGAGAGAAGGGGAGGCAAAGGCTGAGACAGAACCAGCTTGAGAGCAGAGGTATAACTCCTGTCTCCTGGTGTCCTTGAGCATTTTACAATAGGGGGATAAAGAATAGGAGCAGAAAGTGGGGCTGACATCAGAAATGGGGTCCTCTAGGGCTCACAGGAGGGTGTTAGATTGGAGTGGGGTGCTTAGTGGAGGTGAGCCTTAGAGGCAAAAGTCTTCAGACCAATCGAGGCCTCTCTTCTATCCATGGCCTCGTGCACTGGGGCCTAGGGGAGGTTCTCTGAGGACTTGGCCTTGACGACAGAGTGGCTGGAGGAATCAGAACAGTCAGACCTTTGACCTGCGGGCACCTTTGTTTGGAATGGTCGGGCCTGGGATGGTGGAGGCGGCTCTTGTGGGTGGGGACTGGGGTGGTGGGGAGGAGGCTGTCTGTGTCTGCATGGCCGCCACATCTTTGGCTGGGGGCGTCAGGGCTGGAGAGGTGTGGAGTGAGGTGTCACTGAGGCCTCGATGCATCTCACTGCAGCTCACCGGTCTGCATTTGCCCCTGTCCCAGCTCCTGCTGTCACCTCTGGCCGTTTTAGGCACTTGGCTCCCTTGGCCCAGAGGAGCTTGCCCCTCAGGCCTGTGCACCTCTGACCCCTGTGAACCAGTTTTCCTTTGTGCCTCCACAGCCACAGCCTGGCAGCTCTGACCAGGAAAGTGAGGAACAGCAACAATTCCGGAACATTTTCAAGCAGATAGCAGGAGACGTGAGTACCTCCAAGCCCAGGACGCCCACAGGTGCTGCTTCTCTCCTGGATTAACTGCTCAGATTACCAATTATTTTGTTACTGTTTGGTAGGGTCATTTTGGACTTCGGTGGAGCCACGGAATGTGTGTGTGGCACAGAAATCCACAAGTCCTTGAGTTTTGGACTGCCACATCCACTGGTGGGCTCAGAGGCCTTTTTGCTCTGCTCACGGTGGTCCTGATAGCTGGGGTGCAGTATCTGGCCCCCGTCTTCCTCAGAAAAGCCCTAGCTTCCCATGACATAACAGCACCGACAGGGATTTCACAAACACGGCCAGCTGGAATTTGTTTTACAAAGCGTCTGCGCCAGGAGCTGCTGTACTCCTGAACCATGACCCTCCTCTCCCTTCCTCCTCAGGACATGGAAATCTGTGCAGATGAGCTCAAGAAGGTCCTTAACACAGTCGTGAACAAACGTGAGTTGCTCAAACCAAATGTGGGGGGTGGGTGGGGAGTCCCATTGTCTCAAAGCACCTTCTCACTCTTCTCCATCCCCCCAGACAAGGACCTGAAGACACACGGGTTCACACTGGAGTCCTGCCGTAGCATGATTGCGCTCATGGATGTATCCTTCCTGCCGCCCCTTCCCGACCCTCTGTCATCAGCCCACGGGGGCCAAGGCACCATACAGGGTGCCCAGTCAGGCAAAGGGCCCTCATTTGTGCCCAGGAAAACACTTAATTCAGAACCTGATTCAGAACATCTTGGATACTCCTCTGAAAGGGGTTGTTAGAGGCTGAAGGGGAGGACGTTGGGTTGTAACTGCCCTAACCCCTGTGCTTCTCTCAGGCCTGGGATCCTGCCCAAGCAAAAGTGGCCCTTAGGAGTTCGGCTCCCTGGGTTACAGAGTAGGTGCAATCTCTGACTGGTGGCAGAGTGGAGGGGAGGGTTAAATACCACAACAGGGTTAGGACAGCCCAGGCAGAGTCTTCTAGACCCTCCCTCCAAATCCAGGGGGATTTTGCTATGTGCTGTGTAGCCCTGACCTCCCTCCTCCAGACAGATGGCTCTGGGAAGCTCAACCTGCAAGAGTTCCATCACCTCTGGAACAAGATTAAGGCCTGGCAGGTGGGAAGAGAAAATGAAGTGTGGGAGTGAAGAACGGGGTTGATTTGGAGATTCAGTGTGTGACCTCCATCCTCAAATTTTCTATTGCCAGAAAATTTTCAAACACTATGACACAGACCAGTCTGGCACCATTAACAGCTACGAGATGCGAAATGCAGTCAATGACGCAGGTGCTAAGAAGGAAGGGGTGGGAGGGATGTGGACCCGAGGCGGTGGGAGCAGGAATGGGAGGGGACTAGGCTACTAGGACCCCACTAGAGAAAGGAGAGGGAAAGGGCTTCTCATTTTCCTTTCCCAGGTCACAGGGTGGCCGAGAGGCAAGAAAAATAGAAGGCAGGCCCAAGGCCTCCAGCTCCATGTCCCCCTTTAACGTGGTCCCCTCCACAGGATTCCACCTCAACAACCAGCTCTACGACATCATTACCATGCGGTACGCAGACAAACACATGAACATCGACTTCGACAGTTTCATCTGCTGCTTCGTCAGGCTGGAGGGCATGTTCAGTAAGCGGGGGAGAGGGGCTGCCCTCCGCTTTCTTGCAGGGGCAGTTGTGGCAACAGGCATCTCACCTGATAATCTCCAGTCTGCCCCATCCAGGCGCAACAAGGTCCAAGGCCCTCTTTAGGCCCAGAATGGGATGGCAAAGCTGGTGATTCTCTGCCTGCAGATCTTTGTGCTGATGAGGGACAGCACTGGGCACATGGTCCTCTTTGGGAAGTTACAGTAGTACAGGTAGAGTGCACCTGTAACTGGCCTCTGGCCTGTGCCTTCTTTCACAGGAGCTTTTCATGCATTTGACAAGGATGGAGACGGTATCATCAAACTCAATGTTCTGGAGGTAAAGCATAGGCACAGCCCATTCCCCCTGCACATTAAAACGCAAGGTGAGGGTCAGCAAGGCAGACTGGACCCACGGTGTGCTCATTTCCACACAGTGGTGGAGGGAGGGGATAGGAACAGAACGTGGAGGGAGGCTCAGCGGGCTCACAGGACACATGCACTTGAGGCCCAAAGGGACCTCTGCCCCCCCAGTCACTCGATGCTGGAAAACATGCACCTTCTTAGGGAAGATCTAGGAGAAAGGAAACAGTAAACCACTGCTGCTTGGAAAATCTTCCGGAGGTCTGACCTACTGGGACTGTTCCCTTTCCTCTTGCCCGTAAGATTCCTGGGGCGCGGGGTCACTCTTTTCTGATCTACGTTCTGATCTTGGGACTTCTTTCAGTGGCTGCAGCTCACCATGTATGCCTGAACCAGGCTGGCCTCATCCAAAGCCACGCAGGATCACTCAGGATTTCCGTCTCGCCCTCTATTTCCAAAGCCACGTACCTCAAAGGACCCAGCAGCTGCACCCCTGCAGTCCTCCAGGCACCTCATCAGTCCTGTTCCTCCTCCATTTTACCCCCTCCTCATCCCTGATCAGTCATGCCTAGCCTGGCCCTTTAGTAAAGCAGTGAGGTAGGAAGAACAAGCCCTTGTCTCTCTGCCGTGTGGAGGAAAGTGCCTGCCTCTGGTCCGAGCCGCCTTGGTTCTGAAGCGAGTGCTCCTGCTAACCTTGCTCCAGGCTGTCTGCAGAAGCACCTGCTGGTGGCACTCAGCACCCCCTTGTGCTAGAGCCCTCCATCATCTTCACACTCTCCCACCATGGACCAGGAACCAAACCAGCACTGGGTTCTGCCTGGTTATTTCAGGAGAGGCCTGCTGTGGGGTAAACTCACTCAGTGGAATAGGGCTGGTTACTTTGGGCTGTCCGACTCGTAAGTTTGGCTGCATTTTGAAAAAAGCTGATCTAAATAAAGGCATGTGTATGGCTGGTCCCCTTGTGTTTTGTTGTCTCACATTTAGATATCAGCCATAGCATGACTGAATGGCTTCCAATCCTATACTCACCTATGACCTAGAAGAGAACAATGAAAAACATACACAAAAAATCTTGAGCCCCCCCTTTAATCATGCCTATTGCTATTTCTTGAGCATAGGAATTGCTCAGATACTTTCCAAGACATAAAAGGAAGGCAGAGGAATAGTTGTTACTGTAAAAGACATCAAGAATAAATGGGTTATGTACAACAGGAGGGGCCAGTTACCTGAATGTAATGGAGTGGAGATTGAGCTGTCCTAGCTCCTCTGTTCACTAACTGGCCTGTCGTGTGACCGTGGACAAAACCCTGAACGCAGCAGTTTGCTAAACTTACCTGGACCATGGCCTGTGGCATATCTACAGGCATCCTGTGTTTTCCACCCAGTTTCCTTCTTCCTCGCTAAGCCAACGTGGAAAGGGCTGACCATGAATATGCAGACAAGGTAACGAAAGTAAACTGTCAGTTAGTAAAAGTACTTTATTTTCCTCTTGTATTTGCTTTATATCTTGCTTTACAAAGTTATGAAGTTCACAGCTTTATACCAAAATGTAAGAAGGCTATTTGCTTATAAACATTTTTGCAGTCATCTGAGTTCATTCTTGTAATCCATATTCAATATTAAAAAAATCAGAAACCAAGGGTGCTGGAGCAGCTCTAGGGTATATATTTCTCTTAAATAGGAGAAAGATTTTCAACAGCTTTTCCTCCTTGACACGCTCCTCTCCCAGTTTATTTGGGTCACTACCTCGAGTTTAGAGTGAATCTGGGAAATTCAGTCACCAGGTAACCCAGCAGGGCTGTACACTTGGGCTTGGAGGAGGTGAGGTTAGAGGTTACTGTCTAACACAGTAGGTCTGGTTTCTATGAGGAGCTCACATCCACTTGCATAGGGAACTCAGTCTATCCCAAATCACCTCCACCACAACTTCTATTCCCGTCTGTGAGACCGCTTCTCTTAAACCCGAGGAACCTGATGATTTGGGGGCAGGAATAAAACCATTATTTTATAAATGTGGCAGGTATGGCCTTCATAATTCTAGAAGCTCCCGTTTAGGTAACAGAAACAAAATTGAGAAGCAAGCATAAACTGCAGTTATTTGAGCAAACCAGAGCATATGTGCTGTTCAAATCCCACTTCACAATATACTTCAATCTCACCTCCAATGAATTCTCTTCCATAAAATATACCATTCCACTAAGTATATACCTACTCCCACCAAATCATTCACATGCCTCATCACTAAAGTTGTCCATTGTGTAATCTACCAGAAAAAAGACAAAATAAAACCTGTGGCAAGCAAATAATCACTTAAACAGTAATAATATTGCCTCTAAATTAAAGGTAAGTCAGGAGCTGAACACTCAACTGTTAACTCTTCTGGGGAAGAAAAAAGTTTTTCCCACAAAAGCAGGAGTGCAGTAGTAAGTAATGACTTTCTCTCGAATTCAAGTAACATCAGGTCAAGATAACCTTTGCTGTTAGAGTTTTGTTTGCATTGTGTGGAATTGCTTTATAAACTGAGTAGAGAGGTATGCCAAAATTATTTTTAACCTAATTAAAAACTCTCACATAAAACTTGAAGTGACATATTTCATCAGAACAAACTGCCATTTTAACACTAGCATAGGTACACAAAAGGATTTATACTATGGTTTTCTTGGCTTTAAGCCATTAGAAGTAGGCAAAAGCAACCAAGAATAACATTCTAAAAGTGGTTCCAACTACTTTAAAGACATCAATCAGTTTTTGTCAGGTCACTTAATGGTTTCCTTCCTTCACAAAGCTACTAAATGCCAGAGTCAACAAAGATCCCTGAGCCACAGCTCTTCTCTGAGGGGAAACAGGGTTATAATAAGTCACGACATTGTGGAAGACATTAAAAAAAGAAGGCAAAGTTCTGCATAATTTTCAAGACACTTGTAAGTAGTAACACACAACCATAAGCAGCCAAAATGCTTATGGTCCTTTTATTTCTTAACAGAGGGCTAGAACGGTTCATTTTGGGTAACATGCTAATCTGGTGTTAAAAGAATTTCATGTGTTCTTGAAACAAAGGCATTATTACTGCCACTGCTTCAAAAAAAGCCTTCGTGAAATGAAGAAAAATATGACAAGTACAGGTTCCCACGCGTACACATGCACACAAAGGAACCTGCACACTTGCACGTACACAGGCAGATACAGACACACAGTTCCACCAAAGCGACATCCAAATCGGAGTTCTTGCTGATTCTACCAGTCTGTAATACTCTCAGAAGTTCCCCACAACGGCCCGACACCTCACCTAGCCTCCTCCTGCTGCACAAAGGCTCCTCCACTCTCATCTTTTCCACACATCCTCAGGCAGGGCAGAAGGGCACTATGCGGCAGAGCATTCGAGGCTCTCTCAGCACACAGCCAGCCAGCATGAAAATGCGGCTTCACTACAGCCCAGAGAAAAGGGCCAGGTTTAGTCATCGATCCAAATGCATCTTCCCGGGAAACGACCATTCCCAAACACACAGAACAGCTTGGCTTCTCTGGATATCCTTATAGGAAACAGGGGTGAGAGGTGGGAAAAGCTTCTTAATCTCATACAGAAACAGCACGAATATTTAACACATTTTTTGCAACAAGATCTTCTCTGTTCTCCATTAAGCATCACATACATTTCACTAGTGTGGTTAACAAAATGGCTTTCCCCAAGGACAGAAGTCAAGAGCTTGTGGGGGCATTTATTATCTAGTACTAGGCCATTCATTATCTCCCAGATTAACCTTTTTTTGTTTTTTGAGGTGGAGTTTCACTCTGTTGCCCAGGCTGGAGTGCAGTGGTAGGATCTTGGCTCACTGCAACTTCTACCTCCCAGGTTCAAGTGATTCTCCTGTCTCAGCCTCCCAAGTAGCTGAGACTACAGGCACACGCCACCACACCCAGCTAATTTTTGTATTTTTAGTAGAGACTGGGTTTCACCATGTTGGCCAGGCTGGTCTCAAATGCCTGACCTTGAGTGATCCACCCACCTCGGCCTCCCAAAGTGCTAGGATTACAGGCATGAACCACCAAGCCCAGCCTTCTAGATTAATTCTTAACATTTTTTGGATCAACTAAGAACCACTGGAGCCTTTTCTGGAAAAAACACGTACTCAGTCTCACACACAATTTCTGGGGGTTCCAAGGCCCTCTTGAAGCCTATCCATGAACCCCCTGGTGAAGTCCCCCTGCCCGATAGCCTGAGGGAACACATGTGAGTAGATGTGTGTGCACTAATAGGGGCGAAGACAGACCTGGATGCTCTGCAATCCCAGAGAGCATGTCCCAAAGCTTGGTATGTGGCCCTGGGCTCCTCCCCCTTATTTTCTCTCTCTGAAGAAGCTTTCTGAGGTTTTTTTTTTTTTTGAGACGGAGTCTCACTCTGTCACCCAGGCTGGAGTGCAGTAGCGCAATCTCGGCTCACTACAATCTCCGCCTCCCGGGTTCAAGCAATTCTCCTGCCTCAGCCTCCTGAGCAGCTGGGATTACAAGCACACACCACCACGCCCAGCTTATTTTTGTATTTTTAGTAGAAATGGGGTTTTGCCATGTTGGCCAGGCTGGTCTCCAACTCCTAACCTCAGGTGATCTGCCTGCCTTAGCCTCCCAAAGTGCTGGGATTACAGGCATGAGCCACCACGCCTGGCCACTTTCTGAGTTTTGAGGATCCAGAAACAAAAGGCTGGAAAGCAACACTTCTACAGGTTTACTGATGAGTCTGGAGAAAATCCAAAAACAAAGCCCCACTGAGGGTTTGTGAATTTGGCTGTTCTCAGTGGCCAGGCAGTCTCTGCTCCACTCTTCTTTCCCACCTAGCAGGGAAGTGAAGGCAAAGAACTGTCTCAGAAACAAGTCTCTAGGAAGTCTGCTTGAGGTCCTAAAAACCGTATTCAGATGCTTTATTCTAACCCCTTCTCCCCCACCATCTTGGGTGCTGCAGAGGGGTGGAAAACACCCATGAGCCCAGAGGAATACTGGATGGCTGCCATCAGTCTAGGCACAGCCATATAGTGGGAGAGATGGAGGCTGGCAACTGAACAAACCAAAAAGGGTTCAAACCGACATTAGGCTTGCAGGGTCAGACGCTAGAAAGGAAGATAAAGGTACACCTCCAGCTGCAACAGCCTGACAGGATCTGTGGCAGGTAGTGCCCAGTTCAACAGCAAACGTAAAGGTAGACATTAGGTCTACGCACTGCCTCACAGAGCTTTCTATCCACATTTACAGAGGTTTGCTAGGAAGTGGTGTTGTAAGGACTTGTCACCATGTGATTTGCTTTCTGAATTCCTAAAATATGGTCAGCAGAGCAGCCACTGTTTGTCAAAAATCTACTGTGTCCTTTAGCACTTAAAGCCAGCTCTGTCCATCTATGAAGCAAGAAAACAAGGACACACACTGCACATAATTGTTAAGAAAGAAAACTATTTGCTTCCAATTTGAATACCCAGCTATTACAAATGGAGAAATTAAAACTGATCCCGAAAGTCTAGCACTTAAACAAATTTGTACTTGAAAGCCTGACTATAGGTTTAAACCATCATAAGAACATAAACTAAACATTGCAAACTGAAGTCAATAAAATATACATATGATTAGGGTCAAACTGGGTAACCAATTAGGATCTGTATCTTTAATAAACACCTGGAGAACGCAAGTAGCATAAATCACTATATGCCATGCTGTCCCAGAGGAGTGTGGTTCCCTAACATCTGTCTAAATCTATTTAAAACCTCCAGCACGAACTTAAAGAGTAATCTATCATCCCATAGAGCTGCCCAGACGTATGCTAGAGGCCTGGCTAGTAACCGCTTTCTCCTTCCTTGCTTCACCAAGGAAGGGAAGAGAGTGGCCTATGTGGGGGGCTGATGTGAAAATAGTTCAACTAATGACTTCCCAACGTGGGAGGCAAACAACTTCATGAATCAATTTTGCTGTCATCTTC